GCTGGTATTGGTATCAGACTGATATCAAATTGACCTTAAAAATATATCTTAAAGGACTATTAAAATATATCAGAACCTTTTTGTTCTTACTGTCGCATGCATTTTTGTGGTCTATAGAAAGAGCCAGGCACATTTACATTTAAGGTCTAAAAATAAAACAATTTCAAAATATATGACAAGCTGAAAGGTGTTTCTTCTTTTGTTAACTTCCTTATTATTATAGAAAGTAAAAATCACAGTGATTTAGTGGTTATTGCGTTCAGAATTTGCAAATTGGATTATGATTCATCTCATAAATCATGAGACACTGCTCTGCCCTACAAAAGCTGCATTTAAAGCTTAAAAGTATTGGTATCAATATTGGTATAGTCAATACTGGCCCTGTGTTTACTTAGTATCGCTTAGGACTGGTGTCTGAAATAATATGCGCTCCAGCCCTGCCATGTAAAGATGAAACTGGGTAAAATATATATATATATATAAATATTTATGTCAGCAATCAATGTGAATTAAAGATCTATTAAAGACCAAATCTCATGGGGGAACGCCTACATAATCTCTGCTTTGTGTTTGCTTTGGTCGCTCTCCCATGGTTCTCTCTCACGGACGATTGTGTCACACAAACGCGCCACAGCTCTGAGACCAGGTGATGACAGCATTATGGTAGTTAGATCCCTAAAGGGTTATAATAAGTGTGTTAAAACATTATATAGTGCTCAGCGGCTTAAGAAGTGAGCAACAGCTCTTTCACCTGCCCTGCTATCCGCTCTATCTGGAAGCAGCAGACTCCCATGGATGTGTGAGGTCTTCATTTGTCTCCCTAAGCACTGATAGCGGAATACAGTAAACATCTGAGAGAGTTATTGCTGGGATTGGATTAATTACATGCAATCTTGAGTTTCTGCAATGCATCTTTTGTTCCCAGACAAGTCACACAACATTAACAAGCTGTCAAGCTGTGAATTGAAATGGTTTGTCTCAGCGACTTGTTTTGAGCACCCGTGTGCGTGTGTGTGTTTCTTTACCTCACCGTTTACCCCACTAAAGAATACACGCCTTAATGGTGTGAGCGACACACATAATCGTGTGTTATAATTTTCATATACATCCACCGAGCTCAGTTTGTGAATAAGATGAAAAAGAGAAGTGAGGTGGGATGGGATGGAGGGTGGGGGGGTAATGGAGCTTGACTAAACCAAGTGCTTGTACATAAATTGACATGTGCAATTAGGGAGATGTACACAGTCCCCCTGGTCTGTTTAAGATCTGGAATAGTTTCCTAACAGTTTCAAGATGCCCTGTTTTGGCTTTGGTTTCAAACCTAAATCGGGTTTGACCTTGCTGAATAATGGTGCCGGTGAAGTTCCTTCTGTTCTCTTTGGCCGAAGTCCAATTCCACTGCGTACATGACGGCAAATACAGAGCAAGGTTTGGCCTCGCTGGAATGTGACAAATAGTGAAAGAAATTCTGACCTGAGCTTGAAATTCCTAACACTGGATTTTGCAAGGTGGTTATAAACACTTTTGGTTTTGGTTTCCTGTTTATATGGTGAATAGAGGTTGGAGGGGGCACTAAAACTGTTGGAGCTGAGGGTTTAGCTTGCATGCTCGCACACTCAGTCTGGAACCTCTCAAAATGAAATGCTTTGGGAAACTCTTGCTGTTTTCTCTTCTCTCTCTCCTTTTTTTTCTTTGTCTGGCTTTTTCTTGGCTTCTGCTTTTCTTTCTCTGTAAACCAACACACGTTCTGGTAAGTTACCTGACCTTTATCTACATTTCACACAGGATAAAATAGCAGATTGTAATAACAGAGTGGCACATCAAGGGTTAAAGACAGCTGCCAACATCTGTAGCTGTGGCTAGCTTTTAATTGTGAGGCCCAGCAAGTGAGCGAGCAGCATGGTGGAGAGGGGGCCGGCAGGCCGCATATTTCAGCCGAGTGTTCACAGACCAGCTTTCTTTTTGCAGGACATGTGGACTCAATGACGGCGTCCAGGGGTGTACTCTGCTCCTATGAAATATTAAATGTTCTCGGCCCCTAAGTGCAGACAGACCACCTGCAAGCGGTGTGGCGTGCGGCAAGCCCGGTGATCAGATGTCCCTAAGCAACACACATGCACAAACACACATGAATGAATAAGAAAAAATTACAAGCACTCATATTCCCAAACAGGGTACAACATACAGGAATGCACATGCTTACACTAATGGATGTAAACACATATTTTTTAAAAAAGAAAGGGGAAAAAAAGCAATGTGAAAATGGAAACTGTCAGGCTGATGTATGGAGGAGAGATTTATTCTGCAAAAACATGTTTCCTGGCTGTAACACACAGAACTGCTGCGCATTCTTGAGACTGAGAAATATGTCTTTACTGTGCTTCTCCAGTAGGTTTCTGTTCAAAGCTGTGCTCAATGTCAGCAAAGGCAGAGAACCGTGATGATGAAAAAGAGAACGAAAATAAATAAAAGAAGACCATGACAGATGCAGCATTACTTGGTATGATCATAGTCCAAGAAGAAACCTAAGCCTACTTTGAAAAGCAGCCAGGAACACAACGGGTGCTTGTTGACTGCCGTCCCCTTCAGGGCCTCGTTCATTTACACATTGTGCAGTTGGTCCTCGGCCTCCCCTCTGCTCCACCGAGACATCCATGCCTGGCCAGATGTACAACTGTTTTTGTGAAGCCATGAAAAAAAAGCAGCTGGTGAGCACATCTGCAAATTGAACAGTGGGGGTCGCCATTCTCTTGATTCTGTGCTTTTTCAGTGAGGGAAAGGATTGCTTTAGACACACTATCCATTCTACTGTGTATTTGGACTGTTCACATTATCAGATTTAACTTTTCATGGTTGTGAGATAAGTTAATGTAATTAATCCTAAAATCATTTACAATTAACTAGTCATCAATTATAATTAACCAGTATCAGGGCTAGGAGAGGCATTGATGCACAAATAGAAGCAGGTCTTTTTGTTTCATGCAGTGTGGTTGCAAAATAAATCATGTATTCAAACACTGTGCTTTATGCTGACAAACAGTGCAAAGCTCACTTCACAGACACATCATTTCTAACCTATTCATTTGCAGCATCGTAAATATTTTCCTTAACCTTTTTTGTCACAGTTACTTTGATAGGTCAGGTTTTTTATTTCTATATTTAGAAATCTTTTTTTTTTTTACAGAAAAAAGGCATAAGGGCTGTAATAAAGGGGGGGAAAGAGGTATTGAGTGCTAAACTTTGAGGACAATTAACATAAATAATATTTTTTATATTTCTATTTTATAAACTCAAATTAAATGTGTTATCCTAAAAAAGTAACTATAAACTGATTATGTTTGTTTTACAGCACAGCATCCAGTTTTACTTGTGAATGCGGTAACATCTTACAGTTATAGTTTCATGCAGTTATTGAGAGGGCTGTAAAACAAATCACTTTAGTTTAAATTAGTTCATGCAATTACTAAATATGAGTTTAACCTGGCTAGCAGCATTTTCCTGTTGCCTGCCACCCATCTTGTTCAGTCCCTTCTTGGAAACTTCTTTGACACTGGTGACATCATGTGGGCATTTGGTGTCAGTGAATCTTAAATCTTGCACATGTTGTTTCTTGATGTCTTGTTAGGGGATGCCAAACTCAGTGCTGCCCATGACATCATGTGACAGTGATGTGATGATGTAACTGGCTGAGTCACTCATACCCAAGGTAGCTGCTAATGGTATATAAATATATAGGATGGCAAAGAACCAAGCGAAAATACCTGTTTATATTTGTAACAATATGCTGCAATGACATCAGTGGCAAATGCTGCTAACTTTAGCTCCAGCCTATTCAAGGGTATGAATGTTAAAGTCCTATACTATGCAGGGGCTTTAAATAAAATATAACTGCGGTGAGATATGCAGCCCTTCCAACACCCACACAGTGCCCACAGTGCAGGGGCTTAAAACTACATGGACACATTGTTGAACAGCTTTGTGCATGCACCACAGGAGTTCATACCCAGAGGAGCTATATTGTAATGCTCAGCTTTCTATCTGTTGCTGAGGCATTACCTTTTACCCAAGTCTCAAAGAGCTGGCAAGTGGCAAATATAGCATATAGACTTTGCAATTCAAATTATTTTTTAGTAACTAAGCCATGCCTGTTTGACATGAATTTGCCTGAAACAAGATGTTGTGTCAATGGCATACTGAAGATGTTTTTAAATAGGAGAACCGTATAAGAAATATTGTAGATACTAATTGCTGTATCATAAAGGCGTTTATTTCAAAGTGTTTTGAATGAGTGGGGCAACAAATCAAACTTGTTTTTAGTTGGCCACAAGGGGGCAGTGGAGTCCTACCTGCATTATATCACCAGCCCCTGAAGAGTGCACCTGCTCTTTCTGAAATAAATGTACAGTACATGGCGTGCTCGGAAAACGCAAATAGGCATTCTGTGAGGTGTGAAGGTCGACTATGTGATATTGACCAAAAACACAGAATAAGCATGGTGAGGTCATGGAAAACAAAATCCGCTGACAATAATTTGATAATAATCTGTGGTCATCTTGTGCTTGCATTCTATGATATAACACAGTAAAGGCTTGCAAAATAAATAAATAAATACCATCCTGCGTTGTTGCCGAAGTCTACAGACATTGACTTGCCCTTGGAATATATTTATGAATGAGCCTTTCTTTCCTCCTCATTTGGATAAATGTCACGAATAAACTAGCGGGCGAATTGGAGTGCTTTTGTCATTCAAGGGGAGGTAAGGCTGTCATTTAGTTGCCTTAGAGACTGCAAATCATCGCGCAGCATCTCTTCGCCCGTCCCCAATGAGCGGGTTCAGCCGCGTTTGCCGTCATCAGGGCTGGAGGCTGGATGAGCTCCAGTCAGCCTGTGCTCTGATTGGCTCTTGTCGTTAATGAGCTGCCATTGAGGATTTTTGGCTCGTGCTGAGGAGAGGTGTGTCTCTGGCTGCTCGAGTACACGCCTCTTGCATAAATGCTCCGCCACAGCTGTGGATCTGATCAGACGCACCAATTTGAAGGGCAGGCTTTCGAGACTTCGCTGAACAGTGACTTTCGCTTTGCGTGAGCATCCCGTTTTGCTTTTGTGGTAGACAAAGAGGAAAAAAATAAATAAATACATAAATAAATAAAAGTAAAGAGAAGTAAGCGGCAGCAATTAGATCCCCCAGCAGAAGTGACAGCAGGTGTGAATTCATGTCTGTATTTTCACCGCAGATATACTGGTGAGTACTCTGTTTTCCGTTCGTACCTGTTTATGTGTGTGCTTTTGTTTATGCATTTTAAAAATCGTAACTAATTATATGTCAGGCGCTGGATTTCTCGGCATTGCACCTGACAGACAAGAACAATGAAGGATTTAGTTGTTTCATTTAGATTGGTGATTTCCCTTAAAATCAGCCACCCTATTTTTGTTGCTACACCCACTCATGTTTCCTTTGAGATTTTCTGTGGGGTGTTGCCCCTGAAATTGGAAATGTCACAGCACTCAGATTGGAAAACGAGAATATTGTAGGTCTCGGTCTTAAAAGAAAAAAATCAAATGGTTACCAGGATATTCGGTAGGTTTAGGTACTGCTCCATGCGCCAGTTTAGAAAGGTGCATTAGTCTCACTGTGCTGTCATCATTTTCAGCTTATTTCAGTCCATTTGACAGTAAATGTAAGTTGATCTCTTCTCACTTTCATGCCATTTTTGGAAGCTCGGAACATATAGGCTTATGTGAATATAATAGGACCTTTGCTTTCAGTTTTTGGTCTTAAATACTTAACGTGCAAAAACAGAAGTGCGCTCTATCTATTACTAATATCTGTTATCAGTGTTACATTTTCCATAGCCGGCAATCAGTAGCCTACCATGACTCCATAATTCACTCTTTGATGGAGGAATAAGGAATGTGTCTTTGTTTGTTCGGGCATTTTTAATTCTCTTCTGTCAAATATTTTCCTTTCTTTACAGAGGATATGCAAGCTGCTTTGAAAAAAAATGGTTTTGCGAGCACTGTTAAAACCTCAGTAGGCCTCTGTTTGTCTCTACCAGGAAGTTCAAAATCGACCTCTTTGTTTTAACCACACGTTGCTTTCTCGCCTGAGCTTACTTACAGTAGGCTTGCGCTTCTGTCTTTTGTGTGTTACTGCTGTCAGAAACCTTCACTTCTTTAGCTTTATCAGAGTGGTGTAACTGTTTCAGAGTGCGAAACAAGATTATGCTGCACTGAAGTCTTTGCCTTTCTCTGTGCCAACAAGAAGACATTTCTCTCCCAAAATGCCATCATCTTGTATAAAATACTACATTGCATATAAAGAGAAAAATGTCTTCCATTGGTTGAGTTTCTCAAACTATTCAATATGAGTAAGCACTTGGCAACAGTGTAAAGAGATAATTTTCCACATACATCGCAGAGGACACTGATATATGATGTGTTTTCAGTGATGGTCAGCCCACAGGAATCTGGATTCAACTCATTTGTTCCTGCTCACTTCTGAGGGTCCTACTCATTGAGCCCCGCATACCTGCAGAGCTGGGTGACTTGGGTGGTGGAAAGCACAGCACTTGGCACTGAACCTCATCAGCTTCGCTCTGTGTTTGCCACATTGCATTAGATTTATGATCGTCGTAGTAGTAGTAAGGACTAGCAGGGGTGTTCAGAGGGGAAACAATGTTAATAATGCAAGTTTCACATTCCTCCTGTGGCGTGAGATTGTTGCAAAGACCATTTGGGCTCCAGTCAGCGTCGCTACAGAGAAGCATGGAACTAGCATGGAGCTAGCCTCTTTGTAGTTCAGGGACAGGTGAATAAACAACCCAACAACCATCACATTTGTTTAACAAGCAGACTCAGTTTTTGTTCACGTTTTGAAAAGGAAGATTTTTGACAGCAGTTGGAAAGGCTTTCCTGTAGAAACCCAAAGAAGTTCATGTCGTTTGTATGTGAAAAGGCTCCAGCGTAAGGTCAGCGTTGTTAGGAATAAGTAGAGCAGATTTGGTACAGCAAGCGCTTTAAAGAGCTATGCTTGAACCCAGCAATCAACTAATTAACTGAATTGCTCTAAACTTTGGACACATGGTCAAGAACATATTGGACCGTAGTGGCCTCGTGATGGTACTGGCTATCGATCTGTGGCCTGGCTCGCTGAGGCATTAGGAAGCTGGCAGGACCAGGTATGCATTAGGCTGACTGGGTCAAGAGGTAAGAGATTAAGTGCCATCTGCACCACCAGCCTCACCGATTAATCATTGAGATCATGTATCTTTAATGTGTTTCTTGCTTACAGAAATAGGCGGTCTGTTCCTTAACTCTGTTAAGGTCACATGTAAGCGTGCGAGTTGCGGTCATGCTGAATGCATCTAATCTATACCACTTGGTTGCTTGGATAACTCCTGCGTCCTCTTTGAGAGGGGCATGTCGTCGATCCCTCCCTGACACCTGAAGCAGTAATTCCAGGACTATTTGTGCATGTTTGTTTCCTCCCAGGTTGACTTGTTACTCGTGCACCCCTACTTCCTCCTCATTGTGCCCCTTTGTGTTTTATTAGGCTGATGTTCTGTTATTCTTAGCTGAGCAGGATGTTTATAGATCCCCGAACAGAAATATGACTGGCAAGTCCTAAGTGTTTATCTTTCTTTTCCTTCTCTCCCTCCCTTTCCCCTCTTCTCCTCCTGCTCAGGTCTTCACTGTCATCCTTCTGTCTCCACCTCTGCTGTTTTTGCATGTCTGCCTCACGCTCCTCTGAACCCCACTCAGCGATGATATTAGTTAAAGAATAACCTGAGCTGACTTTTTTTTTTTTTTTTTTCCCATCCTAAACCTTGCATATCCCTCAAGCCTCCTCGGTTTATTTCTGGATATCCGGCTATTGTTTCTGGCCAGTCGTCTCACTAGCGCAGAAAAGGTTACTTAACAGTGATTCAGACGGAAGCTTTTTAATTTTAACATTTTCAGAGCCATTGTACACCCTGCTATGATGGCAGTCTTTCTTCCTGAAACAACAAGAGGTTGTGTATATTTAGGGATGGAAAAATTGATTATTTCTATGCCCCAGGGGTTAAAGATCTCGGTCTTATATCTCATGATTCAGTCCCCCTTGTTAATAATCCCATCTTAATTTAGGCTACATAGAAACTGCAGTATGTGTATAGGTACATGTGTTACATTCAAAAGTTGACGGTACTGATTAAAGGTTCAGATACACAAAGCGGAGACCTAGAAATCCTGGGTTGTACCAGGGGTCAGTGAATGATCTGAGTGCTGTTCTAGCCTGTGGCTCTCTTAACTTTTTAATGTTAGGTGTTCTCAGTACAAAATGTAATAAAGTTCTTGTGGGTTGGTGTCATCTTGACAATTTCCCAAACAAAAACAAAGGTCAACAATAAAAATCTTCCATTCAAACATCGAGGTTGAAGCAATGCAGAGGGGATTGTCAGGACGCTGTGCTTTGAATGAGTCATGCATGGAGATAATAAGGCAGAACAGTACTTTACGCAGAAATTCCACATAATATATTCCATGTAATGGCAGATGAAGTGAAAGTGAGGGTTTGACAGATTTGTTTGTAGAGAGACTTCAGTTTTTTTCCCCTTATCAATATATATTTATTTCTTTAATAAAATGTCTGTCAGAGAATTCAGCAGATCCTTAAAAAAGAAAAGTTATACCATAATACCATTTTCACCAAAGCCTACCTTTTAAAAAAAATATAATTTTCATGCTTCTGATGCATCTAAAAATAAACCTTCCGTCTGAATTTCTGATTTAAAGTAGGTTAAGTGAAGCCCACACATCTTGTCCCAAAAAATAAATAAATAAGCAAGCCCATCAAACTGGATAATGTGAGCATGTGAGTGAGCTTCTTGGCATGCTCTATTTTCTTTGTCCTTTTTAGCCAGTGACCACACAAACCACAAGCCTGTGGCCACTGACCACTAGGCACCAGGCTTTAAATAGAGAGCGTGAGAAGGCCGCTCAGCATCTTGTCTCAAGACAGCATCTATGCGAGTCTTGGGACCTGCTTTAAGCGTTACTGCGACAATGCTGGATAGTGAATGCACTGAGCTTGGATAAACAACCTCTTGCTACTTTCATCTAAAATGGAAAGTTTGGCCAAGCTTTGATGGAACTGAGTGCATCAAGTTCCTCCCCAGTCAAATACCACAGCACGCCCCCAGCACACTCTCACAATGACTGTTCTCTGGTTGCTAGCGCAAGAGCACATCACTCTGTATTGAGAAACGGCCACCTTATGCAAGCCGCATCATGAGCTCTGCAGCTTTGCAGTGCATTAGCAAAGCAGACGGACTGGATGCGTGTTGTGTTGTGGTGGAGATGTGCAGAGTATAAACAAAACTGTCAAAGATCAGCAGGGAAATAGATCAACCATAACTTTCAGACCTGGGCTGCAAATAGATGGTTTGATAAGTGTTTCTCTCTCTCTCATTGGCATGCTTGTGTTAGTTATTATAGCCTTTGAACTTTTATCCGTTTATCTTCACTGTATACAGTCTGCGCAGTAGTATGCCATACAAAATACACGGGGATTACATTATTATTGATTAGAAACATTTGGATAATTCAACACTATAAATCTTCTTAGTGTTTTTATTTTCTCTGCAGATGCCGGGCAACTGTGCTATGATCGTCACTGTGTCTAATCACATTGCTTGTCTTCTTCTTTCAACCCTACAGCCCAGTGTTTGTGCCCAGCCGAGATATGACTGAGGTGATGATCAACAGCACCCCCATGGAGGACATGAGGCTCAGCCCCAGCAAGGACAGACTCTCCTTCCAGGTAGGACACACGTGCATGCATGACAGATAAACAGCACTTCCTTCCAAATTCCCAGCCTGTGCATTTTTATGCAGCATTGTCATTTCATATCTGCTTTTATCCATTTATTATCTTGAATCTGAGTATCATCAAATGATATAGTGATTATTTTCTTTCTTCCATCATTACGAGCGAAGCAAATATTAGAATTATTACAGATAAAAATCTGTGTTTTAAGATAAAGCAAGAATGCCCACCTAGATACTGAGATTACGATGATAAGAAAGCATTATAGCTAAATTGCACAGCCCTTGTGCTGTTTCTTTCTTTAAAATTCTAATATGTAATGGAAAGGACATTGCAGATTATAGTTGTTACAGCCTAAAAGTCTGTCTATCCGACTGACTTATCCGAGGTCTGCACATTCAAATTATCCGAGGTCCGTCACAAAAATAAACCCTCAACAGATTAGTGTTTTTAAAAGCGGCTATCAGGTGGTCTTGACAAGTTGTAGCCAAAGGCTTTGTTTTGCTGTCAGCTGAGCAGGGTCATCTTAGAAATGAAATTATTTGAATATGCAGCTGCTTCATTGTTTTACTGTCTAAAAATTAAAAGGCTTTCTGTCAATACTCTACGGGAGGGAAATTAACATGAAGATGGAATACTTATCAAAGAGGTCGTCTCCTGTTAAGTTCATTTTGATCATTTAAAACTTCATTATAGTGTCAAACTGTGTGTTTGGTACATTTATAAACCTTATAGAGCTGTGTGTGAAGACTATGACTCAGAGAGGATGTAGACTGACCTAGAGGAAAAGGCCCGCTTCCTCTCCACTCAATTCACACCACAGCTGTGAGTCTGTCTGAGAGGGGCCAAGAGAAAAGGAGGGTGCCAGTGTGTCACTCCCTCACTCTTTCTATCCTTATCCTGCCCAATGTCCCAGGATCTCCTTAGAGAAGCCCTGTATGAACTGGTGATGCTCCATCAGTAGCTTCCTCTATTATGAGCTCCTAGGACTTTGACTCTAGTAACCATGGCCATGAAATCCCAGATGCTATTACAAAAGCTACTAAAATAAATATGAGCTATGATACTAGATGGTGAAAACTGAGTAGATGTTGACTTTCTGAATTATCACAAGGCAATGTCATGATTCAGGCATACAGTGCCCCCCCCCCCACAACTAACCACGCTAGAAGAGCTTAAAATAGCCTACATTGTGCCTGGGTGATGCGTCTTCACTTCCTGTCATTGGAAGTGAAAGTGATTACATGTTTTAGCTAGAGGTCCGAAGGCAAGGTCACTCACTGCCCAACTCCCCTTGGTGCTGACGCACAGTGAGGATTAGCGATGCTGGCCAGAAATGCAGATCGACTCAAGCATTACACATAAATACGGATCTGCGTGCACACATAATTACATGGCATTTACTTGGCACAGTTTGTTATGCACCTGGGTTTGAAGAATGTAAAACAAAAATGACTAATGGACATGTACAACCTTTTATAACCTGGGAGATTTTCCTCGTTTGCTTTCTTAGCTCTTTTTCCTCCCTTCTCATCTGTCTCCTATGGAATTCATGGAGACTTGGACACAGCTGGATCTCCTCTATCTCTTGTCTCACTTTCTCTCCTGCCCCATCTAATGCTTTCTTTCCACTCGGCTCTATGCCCAGACAGCGACATCGCCCCCTTTACCCCACCCCCAAATGTCTAGGAATGAAATATGCAGGTCTAAAAATATTCATCCACTTTATCCAAACAACAGCAAAAAAGAGGAGGGGAAAAACTGCTGTTCTTGGACCAGGAGTGGCAGGCTTTTTTCCCCTGGGCCATTCCTCCTGTTCCTGAGAACAGAGAAAGTCGGAGGTTGATGTCAAATCTTGCCAGGACAGGGAATGCGTGTAATCTCTGTTGTCAGTCTGTCTCTCATGCCCTTCAGTTCAGATCCAAATATTTTAGTGTGACACTCCACATTTATCAGCATACATGGATTTGCAGATAACGCAACAGATTTCGTGTTCTTTCCGAGGAGATTTTTGACTTTACATCCACAGAAGTGTTCAATATTCAAAAGCTGACTGTTACAGGGATAGGTTTCCTAATTATGCACAAATCATGTCGCAGTGATATTTTACTTTTTTTAACTCTTGGTTTAAAATATTATGATTATGCTATTGTATAATCCTCCGAGTTGCGGGTGACGCTCATAAGCGGCTATGAGCTGCTTGGCACAATTCCTTCCAAGACATTGAGATTAAACATGAGGCAGCATTTATCCTAAGTCCTGCTAGAGATGCCTCATTTACCCATACAGACCCTTGTGCAGCATCTATGCAGAAAGCTGGTATAACTGAAGGAATGTGGGTTGGGTAAGCACAGGTATGCCACTGGGATTTTAATCAACCCGTTCCTATCGCAGATGTTTAGTCTTCGCATCACTTCCTCCTTCGTTGCAGCCCTATAGTGGCGCCTGCAACACTTGCACAAGATTCAAGTTAAGTTGTAGGAATCCAAAAGCCTTGCTTACAAATAACTTTTTTGGGGGGGATAGCTGACACTCCACTACATTTCAGAGCCCAACTAGTATCCCCGTTCAGCTAATGACAGATGAATAACCATTTGTGTATTTTCTCTACAGATATTCCCAGACCCCTCGGATTTTGACCGCTGCTGTAAGCTCAAAGATCGCCTCCCATCCATTGTGGTTGAGCCGACAGAAGGAGAAGTTGAGAGCGGGGAGCTTCGCTGGCCTCCAGAGGAGTTTTTGGTCAGTGAGGAGGAGGAGGAGGACGAAGAGGAAGAAGAGGAACAGAATAGCAGCATTCAAAATGGACAGCCAGCACAGAACTCGCAGCACTAGAGGCTGTGTTATAGCACCCATACACTCTTTCTTCTTTCTGATGGACTGTCCCGTTTCATACACTGGTTATACTTCACATCAGCACTTCAGTTCACTCAACTGACAGATGCCGTCTCGTTTCCCATGACACCAAAAAAGAAAAACAAATCCCTCCACGCGAGAAGCAATATGCACACATAAACACACTTTTATGACATCGTAACGTATCCTCCTAGACTGCAAATCAATCAAAAACAGACTTGGAAGAGATCAGACAATGCACACCTCTAACCTTCACCTACTTCTTACCACCGTGTGTGTCTCGGCCCAGACCGGATGTCCTGTTGGACAGCGGCAGCTCAGTGCTCCATGGACAGGTCTCGCACTGCAGGATGCTACTACTGCTCTGTACCTAACTTCAAAATGGCTGGCGTCATGACCCCAGAGGCTTCCTACTTGTATGCAGAACTATTGTGGTACCCGTGGGAATTATTGTACAGTACACTGTCAATGTTTGTGTTCAGAATCTGGTTTGCTATGTTATTATTATTATTGTAATTGCCACTGCTGTAGACTTGTCTGTTCTGGAGAAGCTGAAACTTTGTGACTTGCCTGTTGAATGGGTTTTGTGCAAAATGTTGTTGCGAATGTTTTAGTTTTGGGAGGGTTTTTTTGGGGGGGGACGGGGTGTCCTTCACTGTCAGCCACTCGCATTTAAAGAAATTTAAAAAATAAATGGGGGGGGGGGGGAAGAAGTGTTATGAAAATCAGAGGTGAAAAATGGTATGTATGATAAATATGTGGGACGTGTTCATTTTCCCCCGTTATGTACCAAAGTCAAGTTATGCTATGATCCCCTCATGACACTGGCCTCCTGAAAGCCTTATGATGGACAGTATTTTGATGATGCAGCAAAATGATCTGACTGAGAACAAAAAGTGTCACCGACAGGCTGCTGTTCAAAGAGAAAAGCTGAATAAGGATGGGAAATGTTACATTTTGAAAAGCACTTAATAAAGCAATGCACAGACCCAATGAAGGATATGTAAATACTTGTTCCTAGTGAGCCGACTCCCGAGGCCTTGTAGTGCACTGATCGTCTTTTTTTTTCTTTTTTTTCTTGATTTCTTTCTAACTTTTTAGAAAGACAAAGTCTGAGATTCACTCTGAGCTGTACACATTTGATTGTCTTTCCCAGTCTTCCTCCTGTTTTTTTTTTTTTTGTTTGTTTGTTTGTTTGTTTGGTTTTTTTGTTTGTTTTTTTTGTTTTTGTTTTTTAAAACAGCCATACTTTTGAAGCAACACCATGAAGTACAGATTGTAGAGAATTCGCACCTTGGGTCACAGTTTGCAGAAGTAATCTTTGTTCACGTCGCTCTTGGAACTCCTGATGTTTGCCAAACGCTGTTAATATTGTTACTGGTTCTCTGGTTGTAATGTCAGTTTATTTGCCTACAGTGTTTCTGTGTTCTTCTCCACTCAGTCATCATGACTTGGTGTATGTGGGGTCAGTTTCTAACTGTTGTAGAAGCATGTCTGAGATATTGTCTTTGTATTTTCTCATTTTGTGGCATTAGGGCTGTGTACAGAACATCTCTCTCTCCTGTCACCTGCAGGTCCCACATTGTTTTTGTAAAGCTCAGGGAGATAAGCCGCCATCTTTCTCTTGTTTTGTTTTGTTTTTTTTCCCTATTATTTTTGTATTTAGACCACTCTTCTCAGTGACTATTACAAAGGCTGTAAATAAACATTTGAATTTGCTATCCAGCTGTGTGAGTCTGACTTCCATGTTTACAGTACAAGTTAATGGCTGTTTTTAGAGGGGTAGTCCTCCAGCACATTTGAAGTATCTTCCAAGAGACTTTACTTCAGTGTTTACTTACATTCTCTATCTTAACCCCCCCCCCCCCCCCCCTTCTCTCTATTCACTTCACCTGCAATGGTTAGAGAAAAGCGGTATTACTTCCTGCTTCGCATCTTTCGCATACAGAATCTCTTTCTCTCTCTCTACGAAAACAGATGCATGTATCAAATATATGTGTGTGTATATATAGAAGCGAGAGCAGGCCGCATGTTACTTCCTGTCTACAGCTTGCACACAGTGTTACACCTAGTATAAGCAAAACCTCATTCCTGAACACTGAACCGACTTCATTTTAAGTTCTTTAAAAATTTTATTTATTTTTTAAATGGTACGTTTAAAATAAGGTGGTGCTATCCAGCAGTATAAAGAACGATGGGTTTCCCTGCCAGTTTTTTTTTGAAAGACTTCACCATTTTCTGCAAAATTAAGGATAGAACGCTGTCTTACCCCGAGGAAGCAGCTCCTCAAGCACTACTCATAAACACACTCCAGAATGAAACGAGACTAATAAAATGTGGTTGAGTGGAAAAGCTGTAACCGGGAACTGGGGGGGGAGTTAAGGGACTAAGCAAAAAGCTTTCTGATCACTGTTACAATGGAAACTTCTCAGGTGATTTGCTGCCATGTGCTCTATTTGTGACCCTCGAGGTCAGCTTGGATTGCCTGGTACTGGGAATAGTTCATAAGAGTTGCTGCAGTAGGCCCTTTGGGGGCCAAGGGCCTCATATACTGGCCAAGGTGGTACTCTTGGGGCCTTAGGGTCACTTCCTGGAAATGGAACAATGAAAGGTCATTCTGTCCCGCTTCCTTCTTCCTGGAAAAAAATGGAACATAAAGAGTTATTAATACCCCCCAGCTGATAATGGTGGTCGGCTGCAGAATGTGTGTCTGGCCCAGGAAGCCGCTGCGTCTGGTTTTGAATAGACTAGAAAATGAATGTCCTTTGTGACATTCTTAATAGCTGTTTCTTGATCTCAGTGGAAAAAGTCATGAGATCATGGAAAGAAGAAATTACAAGAAGTTAGAAAAGGATAACTACAGCCCTTGGGGAAGCTGACTGAACTTGCATCCAGCTACGCAATCATATGACATCAGCCAGAGACCTCTGAACTCCACGGCGTCCGTCAAATATTGCTGAAGAAAGCAATATACGTCAGGTTTAATAAAGAAAGGTCCTGTGTTTCCGAGGTTAAGGGAGATATGAAAGCGGGCCCTCCAGCATCTTTCCATGGAACTTTGACATTTTAAGCAGTTCTTATTTTCAGCTCTTTTTCGTCAGTCACTTTGGAGCTGATTAACTCAGTAAAGAACCTTTAGACTTTTTGCAACCCTGCAAACTGTATTTGTTTTTTCCCCTTCAAACCTAACTCTGAAAACCAAACTGAGACAAGCAAATGGCAGAACAATAAAGTTATAATACCCTCATCAGGACAAGTTAAGATCTGACTGCAGGAATGTTTATCCGTAACACCCTAAAATGTTCCTTGAAACAAGTTCAAGCTGTTTCCTCATTCGTGTTTTTTTTTTTTTTTTAATAATGCTGAAAAGTAAGAAAGTGAAAAGACAGGACTTAACACCATTTGCATCAGATTTTTTTGTTGTGTTGCAAAGCCACTGTGAATTAAACCTATCACTAAGGGCTTCTACAGCACACCAACATTTTGCTATCTGAAAAAACAGTGAAAACTCAGCTCTAACTTACTCAGTTATGTTGTTTTTAGGTAAATTAAAGTAAATGTTTCCCAAAATGTGCATCATTTCTAAGCATACTTTTCTATTAAATTTAACTGTGGCCTGTATGAATTTAACTAGATTCATCTTATATTCAGTCAAAGTTTCTTCACACTGTAAATCTTTTTTGCTAACTGTAGCGTTTGTGGTCAGAGGTGACAGCATTCATTTTGTAAGATGACTGCTTGGTCAGAGTCACTGAGAACCCTGTGACATGGGGGGGGAAGTGTGTCTCGCACACCATTGTTGGCATGAGATGCAGTATCTTTAAAAGTGTGTGAGAGCGTGTGCGCCTGGCTGTGTATTAAAACTGCTGTCAGAGTCCTCCGAGTGAAGTCACTGATAGCTCTTCTAGCTCATTCTTGGAATTCTTTCCAATGGAAACAATCCCATCGCTGATCCCGGTGTGTCAGCAGAGTCTGACCTGCCAACCCCTGAATTCGCCTCGACTCCCAGCTATAGTCCACATTAACACTGTTTCACTATCACTCCTCTGCGCATAAACTCACAAAAACCCCTTTTTATTTCCTAAAACATATCATTAAACAAAACGCTTACCCTTGATGCAACTTTAGATTTTTCCCTTTTTGCTCCACTTTGATTGTTTTCTTGTTCTTTCGCTATCCCGTACTTTTAATCTATTCTGTTGTTCCAACAACATTCCCATACTTACACAACAGTAGAAATGCTCTCTGCATTCCCACACTTCAGGTTTTGTTTCATTATAAACAGTTCCCTTGCTATTTTAGTGCTACAACCTTACTCTGTAAGCCACTGAGTTTTATTCTTTGTGTTCATGCATAACTGTGCCTCTGTGTTTGTGCGAAGCTTGCAAAGGGGTGCAGGGGCTTGAAGGTTTTATGTACAACTGTGTCTGTTATTATGAGCACCATGTGCGTAAGGGAAAGATTCTTTTCCCATGGTTCCTCAAGTGTGAGAAGAAAGTAGAGCTCTCAGGACATGAAGCAAAAACTCAGATAGTTATTTATAACCTGTCTGGAGTCGGCCTACCAAGCGTAGACACATATCTGGCACTGTTTGCGAGGGAAGAGTTAGAATAAGATACATGGAGAGGGATGCAAACAAGAAGGGGGGATTAAAAGGTTAAGGAGTCAGGGGGGTAAAATGAAGGATGATGAGGAGGGAGAGCATAATGACACCTGCGCCTTGACATTGCTAAATCATAGGTCAAAGACCTTTCATCTCTCTTGGTGGCCAATCTAAATAAGGCTTAGTGAGATAAGGTAAAAGGCAACCATAGTAAAAGTGACACCTGTGATTTTGTTCAGCGCCATTATTGCCCAATAAAATGTAACCAATGTACTTTAATGCAACAGTTGGATGCACAGCTAAAAGCCCAGAGGACTGATGAGTCAGAGCACCCCAGGACTGAGCTCTCTGTTTAACAGTGATGCAAGGTGCATCTCAGTTTAAAGCTTTTAAAGCTTTGATCAATACAAGACCGCTGGCATCCACTTTGTGTCGGAGTTTTGTGCGTTAATGTGCTAAGCCACAGGCTGCTGCTATTCCGTAGAGATCAGAGTGGAAAAAGTGAGGACAGAGAGACGGGGACATGGAGTTAAACAGACAGAAAATAAAAATGGAGTGACAGCGTTGTGTGTGCCTTGTTACAGATGTAGAGCTGAGACATGTAAGTTTGTAGAGGAAGAGAAGTGAAAGGGAAGAGGATTTAGATCTAACCCTCTTTGAAAAACCAAAAAAGCGCAATAGGTCATCAGAGGCAAGAATGTTATATAAAAAAACAAACCAAATGGGTTTTTTTTTCTTTCCAGTAAAACCTCATTAAAGGGCTATCAATAGATTCTATTCAAAATAAACCAAAACACAGCGTACTATGCCTAAAAAGTCACTCTCTCTCCCACATGGACTTATGTAAGCAGAAAGGCATGTTTAACTTAAATCAGTGTTGTTGCTCATGTCGAGCGCTATCAGTCAGTTTGGTCATAACTTTCGCTGTAAAAAAGAAAACAAAGGTGAATTACACTAACTACACTTACCTCCCAAGTTGTCTTTTATCAGCAAACAAGTGTTTGTGTTTTAACTTTTCCGTGGATTAAAAATACTTGAGCTCTCAGATAAGGGGAATTCTCTTAGGGAATATGTTTGGGAGAAAATGAGCAAAATTCTTTTGCTAAATTTTCTTAAACAACCGTCATCAATCTTGTGGAGCTGCTGCTTTTTATTCGAAGGTGAGCTGCCACCAGTCTGAAAAAACACAACGTTTTTCCATCGTCCTCTGAAGTGATGGAGCTGACCCTTGAAAAGTTTATACTGATAAAGCATGCAGTTCAATTAGTCTCTCAGATAGAGTGCATGCCACAGGGAGCAAGTCATGGAAAAGTCTTGAGTTTAACTAGGTGCACTCTCTCTTTTACGCTGTCTGTCAGTCCATCTCCACCTCACTCCCCATGCGTGCACACAGAGTAGGCTGCCGTGTGCATGCTCTGACACACTAAGACGCATCGACCGCTCTGTGCACACACATCCCTCAATGCTGAGGTAATTTGTATTAGTAGAACAGCCCATAACTGTGGGTAAAAGAAACAAATGACATATGCAAAGATTTACACTACTTTAAAAGGCTGCGTTGGAGGACTTGAGATGTATATCATCAGTACCTGAATGACGTCTGATATATGACTAACAAGAATCCTACTGAAGAACAATTTAACATAAGTAAAAAGATTTTAAGCTCTGAAGAGAGAGAGATTTAATGTGCACAAAGGCAGTTACCTATGGAAACATATCTGTTCATATCTGAACATTGTTTGAATTTAAAGAAATTTAGGCCACTGCAAAGGCTGCATATCTTGAAAGAAAGCCTGATCCAGCTTCAACCAAGAGCCTGAAATGATTAAACTTCTGAGTGTACTCTGTACTTTCCCTGTTTAATGCTAACCAGTTTTAATGTTTAAAGGAATTGTGTTTTGATTAGTGAAATCAAAACACAGGGTTTTTTTTTATGTTTTCCGTTGGTTATTTCTGCATAACTGTTTACTTTTCAAATGATCTGTTCTTACCCTTTGTCGCCTGTGACTGCTGCTTTGTTAATGATGCACTGACCTCTCAATGCGTTATGATGAGGACTTGTACAATAGATAATGAGCAAAATGTTTAAATATGCATTGCATGCTTTTCTATAAAATAGTTGAAGCAGCTCACCCTGGGCAAGCAGCAATAAAAAGCATTTCAGACCTTTTTATTAATTAAACCATAATACTGCTGAAATTATATATGATGAATAAGCGTAAAATGCATAAAACCATACTGTGCACAAAAAGTACTTAAGTACTTCTTTGCTGGATTTTTCTCTATTGTCAACTACTTTCTTTTTGCACAACCTACGACTTCAAAGGTGCAAACTAGTTCGACTGCTGCTAAAAATATAAGAAATGTGTCAGTGAAAGTCACTATCAGCTTGCGAAATCTACGCTGCGTTCTCTATGAGGGCTCTCCTTGGCAAAACCTGCTCCACATGGCACAGGTCTGCGGTTTTGAGACCGTCATTTTCCTTAATGAAGCTATCCTGTGCAAACAGCACCCCCTGTCGACTCCTGTCTGTAAAGACAGGTGAGAGGTAACAAGTTGAGAGGTCGGCTTCAGCTAGCTAAACGTTATGGCTGATGCTGCAAGTTTCTGTTTTAATAGTAAGTAAATGCTTTCGTATAAAGCGAAGCTGCCTCGGCTCCGTAATTAGAGCAGCAAATACTTCACGAAACAAAGCGGGTGCGAGGCAGTTTCAGCCGGTGTTCTACCGGCGCCAGCTCTCGTGTTCTGGCGGAGCTCCTCTTGCTAATGTTTGCTAGTTAGCTAGCTGCTAGTATGTCGCAACCCAGCGTTTGGACTTACCGGAGCTAACGTGACTAGCACACCCGCACCGATCGTTGATTGTGAAGGATAAGCACGAAAGGTGGGTATGTTTAAATTGTATGTGTTTCACAAAACTCGATGCATTAGCCATCACCATTGAAAGTCTAGTAGTTTACCTTAAGGTAGCTTCTCGTTTAATAAATGTAGCAGTTAGCGTGTACGTTGGGAGATGAGCTGTTCTGTAGCCAAATGATTATAAAGGCAGTTTGTGGAAAGGCAAAGTGGTGCTTGTATGGTTACCCCTAACTCATAATGTGTTCACCGTAATAGAGCACACACTGTCAGAATGTAAACATTAGCGTCTCCATTAGCCAATCCATTTGACTGCAGTGTCTCCTCGTGGTTTATTTGCATTAAAGGCTGCTGCTAGGTCAATATTTACGTAGCAACATTATTATTTACAGATAAAATATGGCACAATTCTTAGCTTAAACTTAAATCTAGGCTAATCGAGGCTTTCTTTCTGGCTAAAGTCCTCCTTCCTTACTCGCCCCACCCTGGTATAGTGGAAAAAGTATGGTACGATCGATGGTCCATTAGCTACTTTTATTGTTGCTTTAAAGGTGGCGTAAGTTGCTGTCAGTTGCCCTTGTATGATATTAGTTAAAAGATATCGTAGTTTGGAAACACAGGTACCCAAAGTAACTGCATATCAGTTTCCTTTTCAGGCAGCCTTAGGGGTTAATAAATTTCTATAATTTCAAAACAAACCAGCATATAGATTTTATCTGAGGCGATTGAGCTTTCCCCTTATCTAAAATAAAGACTTGCTTAACATGAGATTGTTATAGTTATTGATAACACTGCTCTACAAAAAACTTTTTTTTGTTTGCTATTGGGCACCTCACACCTGCTTTTTATCTGTTTTTTTGTTCTTGTTTTTTTACACTGATTTCAGAAGTACAACCAACTTGCGTCAGGTTTTTGAGATACACATCACTTTTGAATATCAATATAGCAACACAATATCTGGAATTTCAAGCATTTCCCCTACAAAATAGTTTTAATGTGTGTATTCTGATAATAAACCAGAACACAACACTAGACAAAGACGCTAAAGCAAATTCCTGTCAGTTTAGCTCAAAATTAAACATGTTAAACAATGTTTAATACATTTGCTTTTGCGCTTGACTTAGCAAGAACCAACAGTAGTCACCCATTATGCTAGGATTGAATTTTCCCTGATATCAGTTTATTCTTGATGAAGACTTTCTTCCATGCTCATCGCTGATTTGGTGGGGGGGAAAGTCGAGATGAGAACGTAAGAAGTGCATCTAAAGTGAAGTTCTGCAGTCATTAGCTGAAATGCCTTTAGCATGTTATCCATAAGCTGAGCACAATTCTGTGATTTCCAAGAAAATTCTGGACAACCTGCACGAAGGCTTCCCATGCCGCTGATCCATTTGGCTTCTGAACTCATTGTCAAGCATCATTTCACCGATTTCAGGACCAACAAAAACACCTTCCTTAATTTTGGCTACATTTTTCTTGGGACCAGACTAGGGCTGAACGATTATGGAAAATAATCTAATTGCGATTTTTTGCCCCAATATTGCGATTGCGATGCGATATGCGATTATTTTTTAAGGTCTTTGTCTTCTGTATTATTAAACAAAGACAAGCAATACATCATATAGTATGGCCAATACTATATTACATTAATTTTA